CGAACCAGCCACATCGACAGCGCCACCTGGGTTGCTATTCTGGGAGGGGTTGGTTCTCAGTTTATTTTTTTTTTTTTTTTTTTTTTTTTTTTTTTTTTTTTGGATGCTTTTGTGCTGACATTGACCCGAAAAGATAAATGGCGTGAAAGAATATCTGGAGGAAAACCAAGGAATTTCTGAAGACGAGGATGTTGAGGCTGATGACCCAGACAACTCGACCCCAATATTACTGCTGGGAAATCGAAGGCCTGTGACCAAAGAGGAGGTGCTTGTAGACATTCCACCACGATCAATAGCCGATCGTCTGGTCTCACGCTTCCTCAAGACGTCCGAGCCAGCACGCAGTGAGTCTTTTGCGTCCCTCTACCAGAATAGGCTAAATTTGGCATCACATACTAATGGCGCGTCAGTTGCGATCCATATTCCGACCTTTCATAAGGAATATGAGCAGTTTTGGAGCCATCCGGCCAAGAAATCCTTCACCTGGATTTCTCTGCTATACTCGATTTTGGCATTGTCTGTTTCTATATACCACCGAAGTGCAGAGCCGTTGCCTTCTGATATGGCAAATCCTATAACTCTATGGGCCGTCTTCCGAAAGCGATCTTCGGAATGTCTTATCCAGGCAAATTACATCACCCCCGGGCGTTACAAGGGAGAAGCGCTCTTATTCTACTCTCTGACCGAGTTCTACCGAAGCCAGGATGCGCAGATTGGAGTATCATACCTGCTTGGGATCACCATTCGGTTGACCATGCGTATGGGCTACCATCGCGACCCGAGCCATTACCCGATGCTCTCAGCCTTTGGGGGAGAAATGCGTCGACGTCTTTGGGCATTACTTACTCAGCTTGATACTCTGATTTCTTTCCAGATTGGTGTTCCTAGAACAATCCAGACATGGCAATTCGACACCGAGCTGCCTTCTAACCTGCTGGATACTGACTTTGACGAAAGCTCTACTAAACTTCCAACCGAAAGACCAAAAGATGAGCGAACGGATTGTTCATACACTCGGGCCAAGGCTCACATCATGAGGGTCTTTGGACAGATCACAGACCTGGCATTTTCCCGAGAACACTCATCCTACGAAGAGATCTTGGAAATTGACCGTCGTTTGGAGACTGCGCACGATCTAGTGCCCTCCTTTTTGCAGATACGATCAATGACGCATTGTATTGTAGATCCTGCAGACTTGATCATGCGCCGATTTGCCTTGGAGCTCTTGTATCATAAAGCACGTCTTGTGCTGCACCGTCGCTACATCGGCGAGACGAACACGAAATTCTCATACTCACGATCGGTCTGCCTGACCGCTGCGCGAGAGTCTCTCCAACACCACACGGAGATTTTCACAGAGTCCCAACCAGGAGGTCAATTATACGCAGAGCGATACTTCCTAAACTCACTCCAAAACACGGACTTCTTGCTGTCAGCAATGATTCTCTGCCTCGGTCTATCCCAAGATGAGGAGCGTGGTGATTCTGAGCGCCTCGACCCCCAGGAGCGTGCAAACTTCGTGCTCCTTTTGGAGGCCACTCATCGCATATTTATGGAATCACAGCACCAATCCGTTGATACGCAGCGAGCAGTCTCTGCCTTGTCTATCATGCTCAAGCGTGTGAAGGACCACGGTTTCCAGGGGTCCCACTTGAATATACCTGACCAAAACCTGGAGTCAAGAACAGGTGCTTTGCTTCCTTGCTCAACTCACTTTCTCGTTGCGCTAACTATTTTATTAGATTACAGTCCATCCCAGTTGACAGGTCAAACAACAATGGGTAACGAGCAATTCTCACTTTATCCGACAAACTACAGCGGGTCAGTCCCCAGTGTTGGTGGAACGCCATCATATACTTCACTCGGCGTCATCGAAGACATGCTCGATGGACCCACTCAACTTGACTGGGTGAGTAGCCCGACATAACGCCTCCAGGGCTGTATCTGAAGCTGACTATCAAATTCTCTAGCGCTTATACGACAGCCGCATCTCAGGGGTAGAAATGGCTACGAAGAACAATGTCTGGTACTCCGAGAACCCTGCAACTCCTTACGACTTTTCAGGGTACGATCCTACGAAGCCTCCAACGGAGCATTAGAGTCAGCAACTATAACGAAAGAAGATAACTAAATTTCACGAACATCGACTGGTCACTTGCTAGAAAAAATACACTAGGTATATATTGATTATGAAAATACTTGGAGGCAAGATAGTTTACAATTGGATCGAAGATTCAGCCCTGGGAGGTCGTTGTCGTTTCTCAAGTCGACATTTGTATAGTCCCCAGCCGAGGCGCGGTGGGTGTAGCTCCCGCTCCGCGGAACCAGACATAATTTTCCTGTATCCTATTCTGGTACACCTCGAACAACCTATCCAAGGCTCCGTTACAACACAACCAGCTTCGATGCAACCCCCACGAGTCTTGCGACTTGCTAGTCGCTCAATTGAATCATTTCCCCTGCGCCCAAATACGTGCCGGGCATCACAAACACTCCGGACGATAAGCACATCACAACGGCCCGGCATTCAGCCTCTCTCCAAAGGATGCAAACCTTCTCGACGAGCCTTTGGTCTTCCATCTCTATCATCATTTCTTCCCTCGAGCGGCAATGGCAATAACTCCCCCCACCGCGTTCTAACAGCAACCCGCAACCTCCCCTACAACCCAGCCTTGCTATTCAAAGTGATCGCCTCCGTCGAATCCTACAGCCAATTCCTCCCCTTCCTCACCGCCTCCACCGTGACAGCACGAGACCCCGAAACAGGCTACCCCACGCAAGCGTTCTTGACAGTAGGGTACGGCCCGCTCAGCGAGACGTTCACATCGCGCGTGGACTGCAATGTGGAGAAATTGACGGTCGAGGCTAAAAGCGGGGACAAATATGGGAAGGAAGGCCAAGACAAGCAGACCAAGGGCTCTTCGAGCTCTTCCGGACTTGCTGGGTTCTTCCCTGGTGGTAACGAGGGTCTCTTCGAATACCTCACCACAAAGTGGGAGCTTGTCCCTCTCTCGCCTGCTGAGGCCCAGGGTGGACCATTGACGAAAGTCAATCTCGAGGTGCGGTTCGAGTTCCGTTCGCAGATGCATGCTACTATCATGAGTTCTGTTGAGGGTCAGATGGCTGGAGTTATGATTGAGGCTTTTGAGAAGCGGATACGAGAGGTCGAGGGCAAAGGCTTGTAAGATGGTGCCTTTTGTAGATTGGATTGTACATTAGATCTTGGGAAGTGCTTGGGATTGGCGCACAATTTGCATGGATCCGTATATTACACAACATTTATAGACTTGCATAGCCCATGAGAAATCTTGGAAATAACCAATTCGATAGTCTATTGGATTGGGTCGCTATACAGCCTCAGAGAGAGACATGGAAAAATGAATAAAGTGACCAAAAAAAGTGAAACATGGTAGTATATAATACAGATTATCCAGACAAGTCAACATGATTTTCAGCTTCAGAGCATGCCCATAGTCCGATTCCGGGTGATGGACTTCCGTGTGCCCTTCATCGAGCTAACGGCATTGTAGTTGTCGAAGACCACATCCCAGTTAATCCGGTCCCACCAGCGCTCGAGGTACTCGTCCTTTCCGGCGATACCATAATCCATCATCCAAGCGTGCTCCCAGGTGTTGACGCAGAGAATAGGCTGGAGGTCAAGAGCGCCGGGCGCGAGGCTCTTCTGGTTCTCGGCGTGAGCGCCCATGGAGCCGGCGATCGTGTTACCGAGCGGGGCATCGGGGGTGTGGGTGGACATGTCAACGGGCTGGCGGCGAGAGTGGGCGGCTGGGTAGGGCGAGCCGGCGCTGTAGGTGGCGAAAATGTGCATCATTCCTTCGCGCTCGAGGTTCTTGGCGAGCCACACAAAGCCGGGGCCGAACATGGAGCTTGCAGTAGCGAGGAAATCCATCTTCAGGGACTCGACGGAGGAGCAAGTGTCGATGATGTCCTTGGAGAACTTCTCGGGGATGGCGGTAGCTGTGGGGGACTGTATTGGAGAGTCTAGTTAGGCTTGGTTGGACGATTGATTGAAGTAGTGTTACTGACCACACAGTTGAAGAAGAAGTGGTTGTTGTGGGCCATTGAGGCATAGTTGAAGACCGAGGCCATCTCCGGACGCCGAGAGTACTTGACCAGCAATTCTCCGGGCTTGGAATCAGCGTCGACGGTGTCTAGAGAATTCCGCATGTCAGCAACGCTCCATTGGTGACCCATAATCAATCGCCAATGCGATTGAGCCCCATGCTGGACCGGAAGATGTCGAACTCACCTTGTGTCAACAGGTTAAGCTTGTCAACAAGCACAGTCTGGTATTGGGTCCAGGCGAAGTCGAAAGCCTCGGGAGAGAGGAACTCTGGCACACCATTCTCCTTGTAGAAGGCATCGTGTTGCAATTGAGGAATACGGTGCAGGGAACGGGTCTGGAAGCGCGAGAAGGCGGAGGTAGGTTTCTGGACACAACGCGGTTAGTCTGGACGTATGGAGCGACGGGGGAAGTGAGGCTCACGGCGGACAAAGAGGAGACCGCGCGCAAAGCGCTCTGCGGCCGGGTGAATCGACTGAACATGACGAGGGCTCTGTGAATGGACGGGTCAGTCTTGCAGAGCTTCAACGTCGAAGAATTTCCCTCCCGACGTGTATCCCGATTGGGACTAGCGTTGCTTATATAATATTTATGTGGACAGCCAATCATGTCGCTCTGAATCTATTTCTTCTTCTACTTCAAGTGTTTTACGCTTAACTTTCAAGAGAATCATGGCTTATACGAATCATTTGTTCTCTGCTAGGTCATGACTGGCTTATGACTTTTGTAGCCTCTATGATGGCAGGCATATTCCATATATCAATCGAGAGGAATGTCTCTGTAGATCTGGTGGATCCCACCCTAAGGCATCAACCAGGAACGTTCAAACATATCTTCCCCAAGTACTCCGTCCGAACGTGTCTCTGGTGTTATATCAACCTTCATCCATCTTCTATTGACGGTAAATTTTGCACCGGCTTCATCTACTCGCCAATCTGGCAACGGAATTGTTTCGCTGTGTTCTTGGGCCCAGGACACTCGGCTCTCAGACGGCGTTCAGGGCATTGAAACCAGGCCCTCGCATTTTACACCCAAAACCACCGAGAACTTTTATTCCGTCGCACGCTAGTAATTTTTCTTGCTCGCAACATCACAACATGAAGATTGCAACTCTCCAATTAGCCCCTCAATTAGGGGACATCCAAGGCAACATTGAGAGGGCAGATCGCTTGTTGAAATCTAGCAAGATGACGACGCCTGACATGTTAGTACTTCCGGAAATGGCCTTGACCGGTATGTTTTGTTCATCACCTACTGTTATTCACTTGATGCAGATCCGCTGACAGCTAAACCAGGCTATAACTTTCCATCCCTCGACGCAGTGAAACCATATCTTGAGCCAGCTGGCGATGGTCCATCTGCTTCGTGGGCGCGTGAAACAGCCAAGCGCCTACAGTGCAAGGTTTGCGTGGGATATCCTGAAATTGAAAAAGACCCTCAAAATCCCGACCAACTCACGTACTATAATTCCCTTCTTGTAGTTGACGAGAAGGGTGAGGTCATCCACAACTATCGCAAAAGCTTCCTGTATTACACCGACGAGACATGGGCGGCTGAAGGTCAAGTGGAGCGAGGGTTCAAAGAAATCCCTATTCAGGAACAGCAGATCGCGACGTCATTTGGGATCTGTATGGACATCAATCCCTACAAGTTCGAAGCACCTTTTGATAAATGGGAATTTGCGACTCGGGTGCTTGACTCAAAGTCTCAGCTTGTGATTCTGTCCATGGCATGGCTCACATTGCTGAGCCGCGAAGAGCTTGATGCCCTGAAGGGTAAGCCAGAGATGGACACCTTCAACTATTGGTTACAGCGATTTTGGCCTCTGCTGCAAACCAAGATGAATCACGAACTCGACATTGATGGAAAGACGGTCTCTCCGAAGAAGATCGTCATCGTCTTTGCTAACCGTGCGGGCGAGGAGCCCCCAGCAGATGAGACTAAGTCACCGGCTCGGTACGCGGGGACAAGCACTATTATCGCAGTGACACAAAAGCCCACCGCAGAAGCTGAGTCGGATACTGGGTCCAGCGATGACGCGGAGCTTCCATTCGACGTAAAGATCCTGTGCTGGGATCTTTTGGGTGCGGGAGAAGAAGGTGTTTGTTTCGCAGACACCACGGCAGACCCGAAAATGGTGTTTGGACTTAAGAAATCTGGATAAACACAATTGCCAATTCCTGGCTATCAGACATCCTGTGATGCAATTTTAGACTGGGTTCAGTTGGGTCTCTACGGAGCATGGAAGATTACCTGTGACTACAAAAGCAACCTTGAAAGGCATAATGTCTAAGCGCAGCACTTATACTTTCCTGTCAGAAAAGTGACTTTCTTCTGGGCTCTCTGGATATATGCATGAAATAAAGGCCCCGATTGGATTAAAATGGTAGGGGATTGATGCATCGACACCCTGGCGGATGATATGACACCATTGGTGCCTGATTTTGGCCTGATTCCAACATTGATGCCCTTTATAGTAGGCAATAGTATTTCTGCCAGTAAAGCAAGGAAGCACTAAGCTTAATAGTGTAGATAAGCAGAATTGGTTTTTTTTAAAATCTTTAGATGCGGCAGTTAGTTTCTAGACCATGAGGATGCTAGTAATAGAAGGTGGAATAGAAAATGCCACTTGAACATGAGAATAGGAATTGTTCAAGATGTCGTATTATCCAAAGGGGTGTCATACTATCCGCGAGGATGTCGATGCATTAATCTCCAAATGGTATCAATGGATTGCTCATGTCTGGTGTCCTAAACTTGGAACTTTAGAATTTGTCCATCTCTACTAGTAGGTAATTAGGACAATTTAGCCCCAGTGTAGCATTGGAAGGACAGAATATCCATGGATGTTCATGTGGATGTAAACATGTCGACTTGAGGCTTTCAAGGTTGTTCGACTTCATAGATCCCATCAGCCAATCGCGTCGCGGCAATCTACCTCTAAGCGCCTAACCTCCTCGGCTGCATCTGTTCTTTATCCAATCTCTTTGCGTCCGATGGACCTCTTAGATCTACACTAGTGCCTTTGTTAGCGCCCTGGTTATTTTGATCATGAAGACTCTGAAACAGCCCAGCCTCTATTTTGGGAGTATGGCGCGTATAGGCTGGGGCGACTCTTTGTTTACTAGACATCAAAGAGCATTTACCCTTGGTTGCAGAATGACTGACTTTAATTTAGTCTGCAGTGAATGCCCTTGTACAAGTCATTTCTGAAACTTCAACTGCTATTTTCCTTCCAACCTTTCTACACTGCTCGTGGCTTGTGTCCAACTTAATTTTGACCTGGAGTCTTCCTCTTTATCTGCATACAACCTGAGCTCATCCCCATCGTTATTTACACCAATACCAACAGCATGGCGAGATCTGTCTCTGGAATCCTTGGACAGCCATCCATGCTGTTGCTTCTGGCATTCCTGGCTACTTTAAGTCATGGTTCAGGGCACACATTCGATACACTGGGTCTCCTCCCAAGATCCTCAGATTCCTGCCCAGCTTCATACGTGAGCTGCAGCAACACGAAGCTCCCAGATGACTTCTGTTGTCCCTCAGACTCAACTTGCATCAGTTTGGATGATGCCAGCTCGGCCATCTGCTGCCCGGCTGGGCAACAGTGTGACTACATTATACCCATCACATGCGATATGCAGCAGCAGAATGTCACTCTCCATCCAGAAAGTGTCATCAAATCAACTCGTTTGGGTGATAGTCTCGCCAAATGTGGTGATCTCTGCTGCCCATTCGGCTACATATGCCAAGGGGACAGCACTTGTGCCTTGGACAAGACTACTGCCATAACAGCAACCGCCTCTACACCTAGCTCTTCCACAGCTCTATCAAAGTCAACCCAAACAACAACCACGGCTCCAACGACCCCCCAGGCAACTATTACACCCGTATCCTCTCCATCCGCCGAAAAGTCCGCCAATACCACAACAACTCCCGACCTCTCAGGATCCTGTCCCGAATATCCCGCAGGAGCAATAGCAGTCGGATTTTTCCCAGGAGCCATATTCGGCGCCATAGCAGCCCTCCTAATAACGCTATGTGCCCGGCGCCGCGTCCACAAACACGAAACCCAAATCCAAGAGCCCAAGCCTCGGGTAGATTGGACTCAACGATCTTCCTCGGGAGCTCTAATGGGCATATCCAATCCAATTCCTCAAGACGACACATCCTACCGCACAGAATTCCTCCGAAGTCCACCGCGAGCCAAGCGCTCTTCCATCGGTAGTCGCTCAACTCGCTCAATGATGCATCGTACCGGTAGCAGAGTCCGAAGTCTATTCTCAGGCTACCCACGCACAGATCCAAGATTAGACAAAGACGTCCCCCCTGTACCTGTACCTGTACCTGTGGCCATGCCAAATCCAGATGCTCCGTTTACGCCACCTCGCCAGCGCCAACCAAGCACAGAGAGTATCAAGATCTACTCGCCACCTGGGGTGTTTACGCAGCCTCACAAATTTTTGGGACCTGAGCCTTACCCTGGTGCTATGGCGAGGCCGGATACTGCATTTACAGATTTGATGCATGCTGGTAGCTCACAGGATGGGAGAAAATTGCCTTATCCCACTCATGAGGATTCAAGAGAGAATCCATTTAGGGACCCTACTCATTGATTATATGGGAGGTAGGGCTGCATGCTGAGACTATGGCTGTGTTGGCATAATACCGGTGTTTCAAAATATCCCTGCATTTGTTTATATTATAATAGTCATAGCCTGTTAATTAGATATTTTTGTTTTGATACCTGGTTGTTCCGATAGTTGAATCCCTATATCTGCACATGTTCTACCTCAATACGAAAACACCCAGTATTCTCAACCTGAATAGTACCAAAGGAAAACCGAACGTACAACCAAAGTGGAAGGTTGAATCGAAAAGTATGAATTTCAGAATGTGTATATAACTCCTAAAGACCAGATGCTGCAGGAAAGCGTATATTATGATGCAGCGGCCCTCTTCGCTTTGCGTCCGGCTATAATCCTCTTGACCTCCTTAAGCAACCCAACCACAAGAGGCACACCAATAGGGCCCAGAAGGGGAAGGTAGACTGCGACTTTATGCTCATCGGGGAAGTAGACCTGGCCCACCATACTCTTTTCGAAGAAACTGCGCTCAGCTTCCGTCTCTGCGACTCGGGCGCTGGCAAGAGCAGCGCCAAAGCGACCCTCCCGCAGATGCGAACAGGTAGAGCTTAAGTGAGAGAGGGTCGTAGATACAGACGTGGCCACAGTTGCTGGGATGGGAATGGAGGGAAGAGACTCGGTCAGACTTGCAAGTGAGCCCATGGTAGATGATGCAGATAGGAGAAGAGTGGCCGCGCGAACGCGGATAGATGTTTGAAGACGAAGAGGGAGAGAGGCGGGGGTACTAGGAGTGCCAAGAAGAGTGAGGAGCTGGTGGGAAAAGGTCATGAAGGCAGGGCCCAAGGAATCCTGAGATAGGTGGGCAGGATTGGACTCGCCCGTCTTGTCATTGGAAAGCGTTGGGTTCAAGAGGAATACACCGCCCCATTGCGGTACGATCCAACTTGAAGCACGATTTTCCTTGACAATTAGTGGCGACTGGGAGGGCTCTGGGACATATAGGATGAAGTTGATTGTAGGTCCGCTTCCGATGCTGGGGTTCAGCGGCCATTCGGCAGCGTTGACGAAAGCACTGAGGTCTTCCTTCTTTAATGTCCACGCTGCCTCGGATTCGTCAAACTCAGGCTTGGGTGCTGTGGGGGCAAAGTTTGCATATAGCTGCACTTGCGTGTCCACGGTGAAGTCGCTGATGGGCGATAATGCCTTCAAGAGAGGAGAAACATATTCATTCACAGCGGCCTCAATATCCCACGAAGAGGGCCTAGAGCCAGGGGTGAAGAGCGAGAATGACAGATGATATGTCTCGGCATACTTCATCGATCGACGTAGCCTTCGGCTGATGTCCTCGGCGAGCTGGGGCGAGGTTGAAGCGAGCCCGGCGGTGTGCAATATGTGTGCGATGGTCGCCTTTTCCTCGCCATATAGCCCCTGCAGCTCCTCTGCGATATATGTGGAAAGGGGAGAGTTCCAAGACGAAGGTGCTGGGACTTGGTTTGGTGGATAAAAGACATCGAGCTGGGTGGCGGCAGCGTGGAGCTCTGAGCGCGGGCCAAGGAGGTTCTCCTGTGGAAGAAGCCGAACAGTCAATGCGGTGTCTGCCACTTCTCCAGAGGCGTCAGCCCCCAGGTCACCCTCCCCGTAATCGGATGCGCTATCGTTGGCCAACTTGAGTCGGAGGTGATGGGCTGCGAACTCATTGAGGTCATCGAGAGTGTGCTGTGTCGTGCGAAGGAGATGCTGCGCATCGGCAGACTGCATTGAAGGGGTCGCAAGATGAATGTCCAAGGGAAACACTGGTCGACATGCCTGCCAGAACGGCTGTTAGCATCTAACAAACCCCCAATGCTAGAGACGATTGCCGAGTCATACCTTGCCACCAGCCCAATCCACCATCTCCTCGATAGGGAGAGATGCCCTATAGATTGATGTTGTTTTCCACCATATTGGGAATCCCAAAAATATGATCACGGCCCAAAAAGCTGCTATCACTCGGAACCGCGTTTGGACAGCGGCTGGAGTCTCGGGGGGCGGAGGGCTTTTGACACTGGGTTTGGGGTCGGCGCGAGAGGTCGAATCCTCGGGAGACTCCTGGTCTCCTGTTTTGATCGTCATAGTCAGGACATGCTTTGTGCTCTGATCAGAGAGCAATGTGTCCCGTCGCGGGTTGGAGATATGGGGGAAGTTGCCGGGCGGAGAGAGGCCAGGGACCGGGCGGGCCGCAGAGACAACTCGACTATACTACTCCATACCTCTAGAGCGCTTGAAGGACCCTCTACGTGGTTATCTGGCTAACAGAGATTGGCTGCGACAGGATATTTTAACACACGTTAATTGCCAGTCTGCAGCTGCCAAATACCTATTTCGCCCGGGGACCATGCGAGCAGACCAATATTTGAAGTGTATACGTCTTAAAAACGGGACCAGCCAGTATGATTAGATCTCAAGAATAGTTTAAATGACAAAATCAAAGGGTATATTGTCCAGGAACGCCGATATCGATCTGTATTGAAAGCCCCGCGGGCTTTCCACTTTGTACGCAATGCAATGTCTAGTATTCCTTCTCGAAAATCTTTTGGATAGGTTTGGCAGCCTGGTAGAAGGTTAGCAACTCCACTGCAAAAGAAAACAATGGCATCCCATACGTCAATGAACTTTTCGAGATCCTGGTCGAGATTGGCAAGATCGTCTTTCCTCTTCTTATTCTCGGCGATCAGAGCTTGCTTGCGCTTCAATAGTTCTTGTCGCGCTTGCTCCAGCTTCTCCCGTTCGGCATGCTCGTGGTTGATGCGGGCGATCATCAAATCATGCTCGTTAGTCTCACGGTGATCGGGGTGAAGCTCGAGGAATTCTTCGACCGGTATTAAAGGGAGGGACAGGTATTTGTGACTATTGAGGAAAGGTCAGTTTGAGAGAAGACCGAGAACTCGGAGATTATATCCACATACTCATATGCTTCACAGGCAGCGATCTCCCCGGTGAGGTGCTTCTGTTCATAGTACAAGTTCTGGAGTTGGAGATGAAGCCGGTCGATCTCCTGTCGAGCCTCGGCAGTCGCTTGCTTGGTGTCGCGCACGCGCAAGATGGCGTCTCGGTTCTGCCCACGGAGTTGGGCGAGCAGGGCGTACAGTAATTTCTGTTGTTTGGAGGCGGCTAATGAGAGGTCTTGGAGGTTGGCGGCATTACAAGTTTCGGGGTTGAGGACGGCGAGAAGTTGTTGGCATTGAACCAGAGTCTCCGCACTGGTCTGCAGTACGGGTAAAAGCGACTCATCGGTGACGATCTCGCTGATAGCCATGGTTGAGAGATAAAAGACTTAAAGAATCGAGTGGCGAGAGAGGATCCCGAGTGCCGAGAAGAAAATAATGTGGAGGGCGGGAGATGGATCAATCAGGGCGGCGTCCGGCGCATGTGTGGTTGGGGAACACCTCTGCTCGTTTCGGCCCTTTTCCTCCCTTTGGCCTCGTACATTCTCTCCCCTCCTTTTTTTTCCTTTTCCCGCCAATAAACAGTTCCTGGATGTGCCCCTCGTTTTTCATCTAGCGCTCAGCCTTAAAAGGGCCCAACCATCCTAGATCCTTGCGGTCCCATTTCCCCGATCGAGCCCCTCCCAACTTCACCTCACTTGATGGCAATCGACTCACACTAGACGGTATTGTAACATTACGACGCATGGCTTGTGGCGCTTCTTCGATGACCGTGGAGTCCTGCGAGAATGAGGCATTTGCCTCTGCGACCGCAACTCCGGACGAGGACACTGGTCTCCTCCGGGATCGGCGGCGGAGACATTCATTCCATGCATCCAGAAAACTTTCTTGTGACTACCAAGATGCAGATGCTGTCTTCATCAGGGTGTGTATTCACTTCGAAGCATTCAGACTATCTCGATTCTGCGGAATATTTAGCTAACGAGATTTAGGTTGAACTCTTCCTGGCCGAACTGGAACGTCGCATGCAGTGGATTGAGCAATACCGGAAATCCCACATGGTGCAGGTCGATGCCAGTCTGAAACGAGGATATGCTGCACTTGAGGCTGTGAGAGATCAGTGCTCCCTCACTTCGGGCGAGTTGATGGGAAGTGGCAAAAATGGTGCTAAGATCCTGGTCGAAACGCTTGAGGACCGATACAATGACGTCCTGGCAACCAAAGAAACCCTGGAGCAAAAGGCACAGGCCGGGGTGCGATTGATGGAGTCCTGTTTGTCTGAACTTGAGAACAGGGCGCATGCGGTCCGTGATCGCGGCATCTACGGTACCCTGGATGATGGGTGGAAAGCCGTGGACTCGAAGTTGAACCACGCCAAAGAAATCGTCGACGAGGGTATGGAGCGAGCCCGCCGCACTCGTGACACACTCCGAGAGACGGTTGAGGAAGCCATCCGGCTCGCTCAGGAAAAACGGTTGATCAACTACGAAGAGCTTCCCCACCCATGGCGAGTCAACCCGCATATCATCAAGGGATACCGATTCACCACCTCCAAGGTGGAATGCGTCTCGTCTGTTTTCGCTTATTCCAATGAGATGTTCAACATCTGGTCCCATGTGATTGGCCTTGTCATCGTCCTTGCCATCGCCTTCTACTTTTATCCACTTCACACAAATTTCCACATGAGCTCGAAATCAGACATTTTCATCTCCGCCATGTTCTTCTTTGCTGCCTGCAAGTGCTTGGTCTGCAGTACCATCTGGCACACTATGAACAGCATTGCCTCTCAGTCACTGATGGAACGATTTGCTTGTGTGGACTACACTGGCATTTCTATGTTGGTTGCTGCTTCCATTGTCACCACCGAATATACCGCTTTCTACTGTGAACCCTTCTCTCGGTGGACATACATACTCCTCACCATGACGCTCGGGATCGGCGGTGTCATCCTTCCCTGGCATCCAACATTCAACCGGCACGATATGGCGTGGGCTCGTGTAGGCTTCTTCGTGACACTCGCGCTCACCGGTTTCTCGCCCATAGCTCAACTATCATACACCCGTGGCTTTGCATGGACCATGTATTTCTACGCCCCAGTCGTGAAGAGCATTACAGTGTACTTTGTTGGTGCCTGTATATACGCCTCGAAAATCCCCGAGCGATGGAAGCCGGGCTTCTTCGATTACGTGGGCGGTAGCCACAACATTTGGCATCTGGCTGTCCTTGGCGGTATCCTTTTCCATTACCACGCTATGCAAGACTTGTTTGCCGGAGCGTTCCTGCGGGCTCAGGGCGAGTGCCCAAACTTGACGACCTGAACATATTTCACAACATACTTTTGTGAATCTTACCTGTATTCAATTTGGCTTTTTTTGCTCCTGGCCACATACATTGGATCATGCGACTTCGACCTTTGAACATGCCTTTAGACGTTTCCACTCGCAGCTTGCTGCAGGTCATGACTTGCTGTGGGCCTTTTCGACGAATTCACATAGACCTCTTTCTACGGGTATTTTCGGACTCCATGGATGTCTTTTTGCTTGCATGGATGGAGTTTGCCTTGTTTATTCTACATTTAGATTCTTCGAGCACTGGGCTTTACAGAAGCTCATTGTCTCTCTTTCTCTTTCTCCGATAGAACTTCTCAACTGTCTAGCTGCAGATTGTTCATAAAATCGTTTGGATTGTATTTAATTTTGACTCATCTTCCAAGTTTGTGTGCCTATCTTCACCGCGATCATCTGTAGATGTTGCTGCTGGCGTAGTTAGATCTTCCAAGGCCCATGGCCTCGATTTGGGTGACCATGATCTCGAGTCCAAAGATTTGACTGACTACATTTACCTACGTGCAGCTTAGTAGGGTGGTAGGCAGTTCATTGGTACGGTTCAAGAGCCAAAGCCCTATTCAATCGCTAATTGTAGATGTGCAATCTATTAGGCATGAGACTGCATCCAGCTCATATAACCGGATACTGTGATGCAATATGTGACATGTGTACGGAGAACCAATGTGCAGTCTTCAATCTTCAGTACTCGGATTGTCCCGTTCATCTCCCGCGAGGCTCCACGTTTGGTTCGTTCCCCTTCCATCGATCGAGCATTGTCGTTATTCCTACGCGTTTTGGCTGCTGCGTTTGCGAGCCTCCTTGGGTGCTGGGAGGTACCTGACTGCAAAGGATAAGCTGGAAGAGAGTAGAACTAGAAGTATCCAAATAGCATAGCCTCCCGCCAGCTGTGTCCTCGCCCCGATCGCGAAGAGAGTAGTGAAGAGGGCAGGGTTGAAGGCCCTCAATCCACTTATACCTGTCAAAGCCAGCGCGTTCAGTGTACCGAGGACTCTTGGCGAAGGGGCAATATCATTCAAAGCGAGCTGAATGGCCGTGAAACTCATGCTGACTCCACAGCCAATGGCCAGCGTCAATGGAACAAAGACCCAAAAGGCATTAATAGCAGCTTCTGTCCCACGTCGGAGGAGAACATTGCCAATCGGGCACAGCATGAAGAATGCCGGGTAAGCAGAAGCGCATAAACGGATTACACCATTCGTACCGATCTTCCGCTGTAGCGGAGGGAAGACCAGAAGCAGCCATATCGCTTGTGCGGCGCCGTTCAGGCCCATCATCAATGAAATCTGCAAGGGCGTGAAGCCGTATCCACCGAGACGGACCGGTGTGAACCAAAACACGGGAATGATCGCAGTGTAAGCAAAGGCGAGCACCATGAGGTGACCATACGTGTAGATGACCATACTCACACCTGGTGACTTCAAAAGGTCCCAAGTGGAGAGATCATCACGTGGCTTTGGAGTGTCAGCTCCTTCACCATCGCCGTCTGCAGTTGGCTGCTTCTTCAGTGTTTCCTCGACGAAAAAGGCAGTAGACAAGGCGGCAGTGGCCCCCACCGTTGCAACCACCAGACTCGAGAGTGCATAGGGGTACTTTTCGAAGAAAGCGATGCCCCCGAAAAGACTTGGATATTGGCTTGCCGGGTTGGCAAGAGCACCGCCCATCAGAGGTCCGAAGAAGAGACCCAAATTGCCACTGAAAGCGAACCAACTGAAGGCCCGTGCTTGGGTCTTAGGCGTGCTGTGTTCAGCCACCATTGTGCGAATAGTAACGATAGTCCCGGCAAATACACCAGCAATGCACCTGAATATGATCATCTGTGGGATGGTCTTTGCCATTCCGAAAAGGCCAGTCGCCAAAGTCACGCCGACCAAGGAGTAGACAAGGACTGGCTTCCGCCCGATGCGATCGGCAGCGCGACCCCAATATATCATCACAAGAGCCTGCGTGAGAGAGAATAATGACTCAATGAGTCCACTGTAGAATCCAATATCCGAGTCGATGACATTTCCGTTATCCTGGACCATCTGGCTTACGTAGGGGAAGATGGAGAAAAAGGCCAGAGGCTCGATCGCTCGGGCGTAGCAAAGCAGTAGAATCTGGAGCTTTGGAAGAGGTTTTTCATCGTCGCTCTCGTCTTCATCGACATCTTGGGTGGCTGTTTTAGGGCCTAAGAGGGCCGTGGTTTCATTTACATGATCATTGGCTTCGTCAAGTCCAGAGCCAGTTGGCTGACTAGGCGCTAAGCCTTGCTTATTCGAAGCAACCATGCCTGTATAAATACAACAGGAAGGATCAAATGGAAGATGAGACAGTGGGGAAAGATGAAAAACAAATTGGGTTTGATATGGCTGTCGGGGCCGCTCCGCACACAAAATCGGATTTACCGGCCCCGGGGCCCCGAACCCCACCCAACTCCCTGCAGGCGTTCATAAGGATCGACGTTGAGCTCGTATGTGTAAGGCGGAGGGAGTCCATAAGAAAGCTTGGCGTGCAGCGTTACACGGCATTTGAAAATGCCGGGCTTCAAAGTGGGCGGAAAATAATTTAATCTCTGACAAGTATAATTGCTTGGTTCTATATGCAAATTCTATGGCATCGTCTGGCATCGTCTGGCATCGTCTGGCATCGTCTGGCATCGTCTGGCATCGTCTGGCATCGTCTGGCATCG